CAGAGTTTGCTTGCATTGAGCCATTGCTGCTGAATCGATGCACTGCCGGACAGCCGTACGGCCCTGGGGATGTGCAAGAAGAAGCCCCCCTTGTTATTTCATGTCGATAGACAGATGGGCCATGCGCAGACGCCTGCTTGTTTACGATGCGGCTCTAAACAACTTCGCCCCTGCAGCCACAAGAGGCGCCGCTCCTACTCGCCGCAAGCTACAAAAACCCCACAACGAACGGCACCGCTGAACCGTGGAAGTTTTGTTTTTAAATGTTGGGATGAGATTCATCTCTCCACATCCCTCGATGAGCCGTGTGTCACGTGTCACATGTTACATGTTGTGTGATTGGGATGAGATTCATCTCTCCACATCCCTCGATGAGCCGTGTGTCACGTGTCACATGTTACATGTTGTGTGATTGGGATGAGATTCATCTCTCCACATCCCTCGATGTGCCGTGTGCTACGTGTCACATGTTGTGTGATTGGGATGAGATTCATCTCTCCACATCCCTCGATGAGCCGTGTGTCACGTGTTACATTTTACATGTTGTGTGATTGGGATGAGATTCATCTCTCCACATCCCTCGATGTGCCGTGTGTTACGTGTTACATGTTACATGTTGTGTGATTGGGATGAGATTCATCTCTCCACATCCCTCGATGAGCCGTGTGTCACGTGTTACATTTTACATGTTGTGTGATTGGGATGAGATTCATCTCTCCACATCCCTCGATGTGCCGTGTGTTACGTGTTACATGTTACATGTTGTGTGATTGGGATGAGATTCATCTCTCCACATCCCTCGATGTGCCGTGTGTCACGTGTCACACGTTACATGTTGTGTGATTGGGATGAGATTCATCTTTACACATCCCTCGATGTGCCGCGTGTTACGTGTTACATTTTACATGTTGTGTGATTGGGATGAGATTCATCTTTCCACATCCCTCGATGAGCTGTGTGTCACGTGTCACATGTTACATGTTGTGTGATTGGGATGAGATTTATCTCTCCACATCCCTCGATGAGCCGTGTCTCACGTGTTACATTTTACATGTTGTGTGATTGGGATGAGATTCATCTCTCCACATCCCTCGATGTGCCGTGTGTTACGTGTTACATGTTGTGTGATTGGGATGAGATTCATCTCTCCACATCCCTCGATGAGCCGTGTGTCACGTGTTACATTTTACATGTTGTGTGATTGGGATGAGATTCATCTCTCCACATCCCTCGATGTGCCGTGTGTCACGTGTTACGTGTCACATGTTGTGTGATTGGGATGAGATTCACCTCTCCACATCCCTCGATGTGCCGTGTGTCACGTGTTACATGTTACATGTTGTGTGATTGGGATGAGATTCATCTCTCCACATCCCTCGATGTGCCGTGTGTCACGTGTCACATGTTGTGTGATCCGTGCGTCTCGTGCGGTGTATACGTGATGGTGTGTATGCTGCATCATGCGTGCGTGTTGTTTACGTGGTATGTTATGTGCGTATTTTTTATATTGTTTATACCGAATGTACTGCGACATGTGGTGTTCGTGTGACATGCGTGTTGTGTATACGTGTGGTTTACGGTGCACGTGTGTGTGTGTGGTGTTATTGTGTGTGGTGTGTATATATTGCGATGCGTACGATGTACAATCATGAATTTGCGTGTATGTTACGTGTGCGTGGTGTGTACATTGCGTGTTGTATGCTGATGTGTGTTGTGTATCATGTGGAGTCTCTGGTTTATATTATGTTTATGGTGTGTGATGTATATGGCGTATGATAGGTGTTTGCCGTGTGATAGTTTGTAGTTTTGTGTATGATACATATTGCATTTGTGCACGTGTGTGTGGCGTATAGTACACGTGCATAATGTATGAATGTTATAGAGTGTATATAGTATACAGTGTGTGTGTATTAGGTGTATGTATGGTGTGTGCTGTGTGTCTATGGTATATTTGGTATGTGTATGTGAGATGTGTTATGCAAAATTTTGTATGTTGTCCATATATCATACACGCGTGACGTTTATGGTGCGTATGTGTATCATGCGAGCTGTGTAGGGTGTGTGGTGTAAGCGTGGTGTGTGTAGTGTGTGTATGATGAAGTGTGGTGTGTGTGGTGTGTGTGTGGTGTGTGTATAATGAAGCGTGGTGTGTGTGTAGTGTGTGTGTGATGAAGCGTGGTGTGTGGTGTGTGTGTATGATGAAGCGTGGTGTGTGTATGATGAAGCGTGGTGTGTGTGTGGTGTGTGTATGATGAAGCGTGGTGTGTCTATGATGAAGCGTGGTGTGTGTGGTGTGTGTATATGATGAAGCGTGGTGTGTGTGGTGTGTGTGTGGTGTGTGTGTGATGAAGCGTGGTGTGTGTGGTGTGTGTATATGATGAAGAGTGGTGTGTGTGGTGTGTGTGTGGTGTGTGTGTGGTGTGTGTATGATGAAGCGTGGTGTGATGTGTGGTGTGTGTATGATGAAGCGTGGTGTGTGTGTGTGGTGTGTGTGTGGTGTGTGTGTGTGGTGTGTGTATGATGTGTGGCGAGTGACGTGATGTAGCGGATAGCGCGCTGCGCTCTGAACCCGGCCACCAGAGTTCGATTACCGCTCGCGACCAACAACATTGGCGAATATCTGAACTAGTCCTGGGCCTCCTCTGGGTCGACTCGGCCCCAAACGAGTACACGGTGCTAGGGAAACAAAGGCGGCCAGGGCGTGGTATTGGCCACCCACCCCGTCGTGTGCCGTGCCGGCTTTAATAGGTGCTCGCTAACAGCACTTGCCCCAACAGCCTGTTGAGGCTCCGCGGAGGATCTTTGTCTTCGTGTGGCATGTGATGTATACGGCGCGTGTGTGAGATGCGTGTATCAGGGTTGAGCGCACATGGCCACACACACACACGGCCGTGTCTCACGCAGGCACCGGGCAGTCCGGGGGGGTCCCCTGGGACGCGGGGGTGGAGGAGCGGAGCTCGGCCGGGAGGAGGAGGAGGGGGAGTGGGGAGGGCCGAGGGGATGACCCCGCGTGTGTGTGCGCGTGTGTGTGTGCGCGGAGGGAGGAGGGAGTTTCGGGTGTGTGTGTGGAGGGGTGAGTCGAGCCCCGGGTGTGTGTGTGTGATGTTTGTTGGCGGCTGCCTGTAGGTGGGGGAGGGGTTGTTGTGAGATGGTGAGCAGGCGCGTGTTGTGGTGTGCAGGGGTCAGCGCAGCGCGCGTGAGTGGGCGGTGTGCGTGGAAGGGTGGAGGAGGTGATGAAGATGGTGGGGGAGGGGCGTGCTGGGTCCGTGATTGAGTTGCTGGGAGGTGTGTCTGTTTGGTGCGCGGGATGAGTCTTACCACCCTGTGTGTGTGCGCGCGGGTCGAGGAGGTGTTGTTTATATGGTTCGCGGGTGAGGGCAGTGTTCGCGTGTGTGCCGGTGTTTTTGGGGTGCGCGTGTGTGCCCTGTGGATGTTGTGTGCTGCGTAGGGGAGCGTGTTTGTGTATGTGAGCGCCTGCTGTGTGTGTGTGTGTTAAGATGGTGTATGTGCCGAGTGGTAGGGCACGCTGTGTGAGTGTGCGCTGTGCGTGCTGGCTGTCTCTGTGCTTACGCTGAGCGTACGCGTGTGTGACAGGGTTGGTGGGAGCTGTGTGTGTGTGTGTGACAGGGTTGGTGGGAGCTGTGTGTGTGACAGGGTTGGTGGGAGCTGTGTGTGTGACAGGGTTGGTGGGAGCTGTGTGTGTGACAGGGTTGGTGGGAGCTGTGTGTGTGACAGGGTTGGTGGGAGCTGTGTGTGTGACAGGGTTGGTGGGAGCTGTGTGTGTGACAGGGTTGGTGGGAGCTGTGTGTGTGTGACAGGGTTGGTGGGAGTTGTGTGTGTGTGACAGGGTTGGTGGGAGCTGTGGGTGACAGGGTTGGTGCGAGCTGTGTGTGTGACAGGGTTGGTGGGAGCTCTGTGTGTGACAGGTTTGGTGGGAGCTGTGTGTGTGACAGGGTTGGTGGGAGCTGTGTGTGTGACAGGGTTGGTGGGAGCTGTGTGTGTGTGACAGGGTTGGTGGGAGCTGTGTTGGTTGACAGGGTTGGCGCGAGCTGTGTGTGACAGGGTTGGTGGGAGCTCTGTGTGTGACAGGGTTGGTGGGAGCTGTGTGTGTGACAAGGTTGGTGGGAGCTGTGTGTGTGACAGGGTTGGTGGGAGCTGTGTGTGTGACAGGGTTGGTGGGAGCTGTGTGTGTGACAGGGTTGGTGGGAGCTGTGTGTGTGACAGGGTTGGTGGGAGCTGTGTGTGTGACAGGGTTGGTGGGAGCTGTGTGTGTGTGACAGGGTTGGTGGGAGCTGTGTGGGTGACAGGGTTGGTGCGAGCTGTGTGTGTGACAGGGTTGGTGGGAGCTCTGTGTGTGACAGGGTTGGTGGGAGCTGTGTGTGTGACAGGGTTGGTGGGAGCTGTGTGTGTGACAGGGTTGGTGGGAGCTGTGTGTGTGACAGGGTTGGTGGGAGCTGTGTGTGTGACAGGGTTGGTGGGAGCTGTGTGTGTGACAGGGTTGGTGGGAGCTCTGTGTGTGACAGGGTTGGTGGGAGCTGTGTGTGTGACAGGGTTGGTGGGAGCTGTGTGTGTGACAGGGTTGGTGGGAGCTGTGTGTGTGATAGGGTTGGTGGGAGCTGTGTGTGTTTGACAGGGTTGGTGGGAGCTGTGTGTGTGACAGGGTTGGTGGGAGCTGTGTGTATGTGACAGGGTTGGTGGGAGCTGTGTGGGTGACAGGGTTGGTGCGAGCTGTGTGTGTGACAGGGTTGGTGCGAGCTGTGTGTGTGACAGGGTTGGTGGGAGCTCTGTGTGTGACAGGGTTGGTGGGAGCTGTGTGTGTGACAGGGTTGGTGGGAGCTGTGTGTGTGACAGGGTTGGTGGGAGCTGTGTGTGTGACAGGGTTGGTGGGAGCTGTGTGTGTGACAGGGTTGGTGGGAGCTGTGTGTGTGACAGAGTTGGTGGGAGCTGTGTGTGTGATAGGGTTGGTGGGAGCTGTGTGTGTTTGACAGGGTTGGTGGGAGCTGTGTGTGTGACAGGGTTGGTGGGAGCTGTGTGTGTGTGTGTGTCCTGGGTGTGAGCGTGTGTCCGGCCGCCCCCTTGTCCGGCCGAGGAGGCGTTCCTCCCTTGCCCTCCTCCCCCGCCCCACCCCGACCGTGCGGGCTCGCCTCGGCTCCCCACACCCCAAACGGGATGCGACCCTCGCGTCGCGAGCGACGACTCCGCGGCGCTGCGTCCCGAGCGCACTCATGGCGAGACGGACTAATAAACACCAACGTTGGTGCGGGGCTCTCCGGCTCCTGGCGGTGTTCGTCTGCGGCGCAGGTGAGGGAGGCGCGTGTTTGTGTCCCCTGCGCCCCGGTAGGCGATGGATCTCTCTTGCCTCCTCTCTCTCCCCCATCTCTGTCTCCCGGCCGGCTGAATCTCCGCGCTCAGCCATGTGGTCTTCTTCTTGTTGTTGTTGTCACGCATGGTAACGGGACTTGAGATCGAGCCCCGTGCGGGGCAGAAGTCACGGACGCGGCCGGGTGGCCACCAGAGCCCGGGGATGGGGCCCAGCGTGGGGGAGCCGCACGCGATGGACAGGGCAGCCCGTGTGTGTGCGCGTGCGTGCGTGCGTGCGCGTGTGTTGTTGATGCGCAAAGTTACGGGGCAGTTGAGGCGCGTGTCCGTGGCTCTGAGTGGCGTCCCCAACGCGGGCACCCCCATCGTGAGCCCCGCGCTCTCGTGACAAGTGCTCGCGAACAGCGCCTGGGCTCAGTGGCGTCTCAAGGCTAGAGGAGGAGTGTGCGTGGGTGTCCAGTGCCGCACGACTCCGCGGGTCTCTGGGTAAAAGAGACTTCTGGGCTCCGCGGTCTTTTGACTTGGCGGCTCTCCGCAGAGGTCATCCGGCGATGTATTTCATTGTGTGCGAGGGTTGCTGCGCGCGTGTTGATAATGCCTGCGAGTGGTCCGTGCTGTGCGTGCTGGGCGCGAGTGTTGTGTATCACACACACGCACGTGTGGTTAGCGCACTAACCACTCCGCCACCCGGTGTTGCAAGTTCCCACCCTTAACAGTGGCGAATTTTCGTAACCGGTACCGGGCCTTCGCCTAGGTTGACTCAGCCGTAACGAGCCCCCGGTGCGGTGTAATAATATCGGCGTTGGCCACCCACCCCCTCGCGTGCCGTGCCGGCTACTCGCCAACAGCACGAGCCCCAAGGGGCTGTATTGGAGGGGGGGGGGTCTTTGTCTTTGCTGCGATGTTGGTGCGCGCGCGTTCTGATCGCGCTCCGCACGAGGCACCACCACGAGTCCCGTCTCCTGGGCCAGACGGGGGTCGCTTCACCCGCGCTGCCCCGGAGGCACGGGCGGGACTCGTGAACGGGGCCCCGCCAGCAGCAGCATCAGCGGCAGCCCCATCCTCATGTTCGTCGTCGTCACTTAGCGAAGGAACTTCGAACGCGCAGCGCCGGTCAGCGCACAAGTGGGGCCGCCAAGAGGGGCGATTGGCCCGCGATCAGACAGGCGGCCGGCAATGACCAAAGCCGCGTGCCTTCTACAATCGACGTTAAAGAAGAGCCCACAACCCCCAACTCGCTCCCATTTGACGTCTCTATTGAGCCGGCCGTGGTGCCGCGCGCCCGTGATCCATCGCGTTGGAGGCGAGGGTTGGTGGTCACGAGCACAGAAGTGGAGTTCGTGTACCTGTCTGTGCGGACCGATGGATGTTATCCTTGCGTATTGAAGTGTTTCTCCGTGAAAAGCCGACTCAAAGTTTCCTCGTCCACGAAATAAGACACATCGCTGGAATCGGAAGGACTCGGAAGGACCCTGCAGAAAAACAAGAGTCCGAAACGAGGCATGGGAATTATTCAGCAGCAGCAGTAGCAGCCATGCTCGATCCACTGCTGAATGAAAGACTCCCAAAGCCGCCGCCACCGTTCCGTGACGCAACACACTGGAGCTATCGTCATCATCGTTCACACATTTAGGATTTTACATACCGGTCAAATACCACATTTGCCAAACTAGTGACTGCAAGAACCGAGTTTGCCTCTAACTCCGGAATTACGATCTCACTCGCAGTAGCGACTCTCAAAGGGACCTCGCGTGGATACACGAAGGGAATCCATCTCGCTCTGGCTCATCCCTCGAGCGCGTTCGGCGCTGATTAATCGTGCAAAATCGCTGCTCCATTGAATAATCCTGTAATATGAACTCGCTGGTTCTGCGTCTCAACAGAGGTGAAACTAATTGTTATCACACTGCCGCCACGCATAATGCGATCGCGTATACTGATGCAGATGCCGATGTTGCTATTAGCCGTGCACGGGACACTGATGATGGGGTCCCGTTGACTGAGCGGCTGGCTGGATGGATACTAGAACAGTATATAAACAACAGCGCAGCAATTGATGAAATCCGTGGATTTGGTCCACTCGCTCTATAGAGTCTCTGCCTGTTGGGTCTGCGATCTTCGCTGAGCTTTGAGTTACCCCTCGTAGGAGCGATATAGTACAGCCACTGGTTCTCCCCAAGCCAACCACACGCCCAGCTACTCCTTGACGGGACATCACCTTCCTGAATGAGATGTAACATCCGAGTCGGGCTCTTGCTGGGTAAACACTTGCCAGCCTTATTGACCATGGGCCCCACGCCTCGTGCAGTATCGAGCGCAGTACTCGCAGCAGCGCTTCTTCAAAGTTCGGGGACTGCACGCCGACGAGGAGGAGTGGGGCGGGCGGGCGGGCGGGGGGCGATTACAATCGCGACCACTTCTAAGGAGAGTGCAGCCCCAGCAAGGGAATGTGGAATTAGGGGGGAGAGTTGTTTGGGGGGGGGGAGCGGGGACGCGGAGGAGCCCAGCCCACGTGGCTCTGCCCCCCCCCCCCATCACTCTTCACGACTGTGGCTGCGAGTCGCAGATTGCACCCCCAATGAATCGCTCCCGCTCCTACAGCACAGCCAGTAAATGGTGCACTCCGTCTGGCGATATAATATAGAAGTCGGTGAATGAGATTCCTAGTGAATGAGTCGATGAAAGAGTTACACAGTGAATCGATTACTCCGTTCTGGGGCTGTATCACAGTGAATGAGTTGTATCTACGTATGTTGCACTTATTTTGTACCAGGGGTAGCCAACCGTGCTAATCGGAGGTGCGAGTTACACAGGGAATGAGTTTGTGAACGAGTTACCCTGGCCGCTCGATCAGTGATGCGCGCCCTGAATGAGCAAGTGAATGAGTTACTGGCGCTCGTTCACCGCGCCGCGTCCTCTGCTTTGGGTCCATCCTGGCTGAGGAATGAATCGAGTTGGCGGGGATGATCGTCACAACAACCACCGCTGGATTCCCCCGTGACTTTCTCTCACGAGCGACGTGCGCTCGTGTGTGCACGGTTAGAGCGAGACGCGTTCGGGGGACTCGATTGGACGGAATTAAAATAGAGACTTTAAAATGTTCAGTAAAGACCGGTGCATGCCCCAGAGGCTGTTCAACAATGGTAATTAATGCTTTGCAGCCTATTATGTTAATCCACTGCTGGGGGCTGTTTGTCCATACTTCACCACGCTGGGCAGGCAGTGGGTTTTGATGAAGACGAGATTACGTGACCATACTTCCCCGCATTGCGGGTGGTCCGTGCGGGATAGTGTAGGCGCGTGGGTGGGTGCATGCAGCAGAGGCGACTTTCACGTACTTAATTTATTTCTTATTTCATGCTGTTTTCGAGGACTAGGAGAAATGTCGTTGTTTGCTGGTGTGAGTAGAGTCGTGGATAATGCCTCCCACTTCCCTCTGGGAAGGCTGGGAAAGCGCCCATAATGGGTTTGGATTTAGGGTTTTGGACAGGGAGTGCTGTGGGTTAGGATAAATCGGGCCCACATTTTGTAAAGCGTCTAATTCCAAACCCATTTTGGTCACCACCATTCGAACCTCGTACACCCCGAAGTCGTCCTCTGTTCGCGTTAGTGCCATTGTTATTTTTGATGGACCTCGCTGGGGCAGAGCTTTCACGATCCATAGGCCGTGGTCTCATCGCCTCTGACAAGGCCACAGGGCTTCTTCCCTGGGCACTCTACGGCTGGGTTTGGACTCTCGCCGATGACCTCCTGAGGGCTAAGCACATTCGTGTCCCTCTCTATCTTCCATCCGTGTCCAATTCCCTACATGAAGATCTTTCATCTGAAACACTGAGCAGCGTTCGACCAACGAGAGAAACAATATTTTAAGTTTTAAAGCGATGTCGCTTTAATGATTTTTACGGACTGGCATATGTAAAATGTGTGTGTGTATTTAGTGGTTGGTTGAATCAAGTAACTGTGCTCGGGTAGGGCACATTATGGCCAGAAAGGTTAAACCGGGTGCACAAGACTTATTCTGACATTGGGGCCTAGGAAGAGACCACACTGCGTAGGATAACCAACAGCGAGACGGAGCGATGTCAGGTCACGAGCAGTAGCGACACGGATTGTGGCATCGCAGGACTACGAGGCAAGGGCTAGGGCATCGGGAATAACTTAATCCAGCAGCGGATAGACCCTGACCTCGCGATGATGAGTGGTCTGCTGAAGAAATATGGCAATCGTTTAATTATGATGTCGCCGCGATGCATTGCGGTGCAGTGTAAATGCGTCCCAGTGAATGAATTGGTGAATAAACGAGTGGAGAGCGATTCGTGGTCAAGGGACCGATTGAGTGGATGACAGAGGGATTGCGAGACTCGGCGGGTTAATGGGTGCTGTAAAAGCGTCATTCGTTTAAGGGAATATATTAGTGAATGAGTAAACGAACGAGGTGGCGAATGAGTGACTGAGCGAGTAAGTGCATGAATCAGTGAACGAATGTTGCACGAGTGTCCACGCGCTCTGCAGGCTTCATCGTTCAAGTGAATGGAATGAGTGAATTGGGAAGTGAGCCATTTGGTGAATGACAGTGGACGAGAGAGTAAGCGAATGAGCAAATTAATCAACGAGAAAACGAGATGAGTCTGCGAATGAACCCGTGTGAACGAATGAATGGAGTGTTCATTCGCATCGTAGGCATCGTCATTCGTTTAATCTCCGTCGGTTCTCGCTGTCGGGGTTAGGGGATGACCGAGGGACGAGACCCGGGGCCTCGCTCGCTGCGAGAGACGAGCAGAGAGAGGGGGGGGCAGGCGGACACGGGAGGGAGGCGAGAGGGACGGGGGGAGAGGGGCAGATGTAGGAGGAGAGGGCTATGGAGTGAGATGTTGGCGACGAGGAAGATGGTGAGATGAGGTGGAGTGAAGGGGAAGGCGCGACGGAGACGAGGGACGTGAGTTTGGCGCCCCCTAGTCAGGTCGCGCGCCCCCCTCCCCTCCTCTTCACCCCCCTCCTTACCCCCACCCCATCTCCTTACCCCCTCCACCCCACCCCCTCCCCTCCACCCCACCCCTTCACCCCCCCTCCTTACCCCCACCCCCTCCACCCCACCCCTCCCCACCAATGGGACAAACAAAGGCAGCGGGCTGCCCGTCAGAATCTCGGCAGCACCGTCCCGCAAAGTGGCGTGCCTCTTAGTAAACAAGACAACAAGAACAACAACAGCAGCAGCAGCAGCAGCGATGAAGCCACCAGGGTGGCGCAGCTTGCAGCACGTCCCGGGGACTGCTCTGCGTTATGATCGCTGCGCTGGTTAAACACGCGGCGCTGCTGCTGCTGCTGCTGCAGCTGCCACGCCTCCTGCCCTCTGCAGCTCCCCTCCATCTCTCTCTCCATCTCTCTCTCTCCATCTCTCTCTCTCCATCTCTCTCTCCATCTCTCTCTCCATCTCTCTCCATCTCTCTCTCCATCTCTCTCTCTCCATCTCTCTCTCCAACTCTCTCTCTCCATCTCTCTCCCTGTGGTGGTGAAACACGGCTAACCCAGACTGCTGGCTGGGGAAGGGTGCGATTAGCGAGCACCGATTTTTTTTTAAGGCGAGTGTCGACGTTTCGCGCCCCTCGCCAGCCGAGTCGCTACTGGACTGTATACACGGTATCAACTCGCCACTGATGTTAGCCGTGACCTGGAATCGAACGTGGGTCGATCACAAGGTTCTCGGGTGGTGAGGTGGTGTGGTGGCTTTGCGGGTAAGCGCGTTCCCCGCTTGTTGCAGCAGTTCGCGGTCTGATTCCAGCGGCTGCCCTGGTTAATACCGCGGTGCGGTATTAAGTGCAAAATACTTGTACGCGCCGTCTGCTTCACAGTGAACGTTGAAGACCCCGTGATGCCATTCGCAAGAGTAGACAATTGTGTGCCAGCGTCACGGTCAACATCTGCCAAATCTGAAGAAAGATAACCACCCGTAAATAGCTGAATTTGAATATAAAAAATGGCAATCATTGCTCTGCGACTGCGAAAACTTGACAGTGCCCTTCCTGGAAAAGACGAATGAGACCCCCGGATAAAGAAGTGGAATAATAAATAAATAGCGAGCACAGCGCGCCACCGCGGGCTCGTCTTGGAGTGAGCAGGCGTAGTGGTGGGAGGAGCGGTCGCCTCGTGCCCAATGTTTGACTCAAAACTGCAAAAATGTCAGAATCAGAATTAGCATTGACACTGGAGGATTCCGATGTTTTATAAAGCTCTCTTTCACAAGTGTCCAGTCGGGGCAGGTCACAACGTTACGACAACAAACACTACAATCATTATATAGGGGTGGAAAATATAGGAAAGGTAAACAAATCACTTAAAAATATACAAATAAAACTAAACGCATATTTTTTGATTGCCAGGTAAAGTCCACTGAGCTATTAACGTATTTTGTCAGAAGCGACGTGGCCACAAATGACAGCTCAACAAAGTGGCTTATCACGTAGAAACGAATATCAGCAACATCAATCTAAATAATGTAAATGCAAATGCACCTCCCGTCACAGACCACGTCGTGGCAGCTACGCGTCTCCATCAGAATCCCGGTCCCCTGGTGCCTCCGCGTTGCCGGGACGTCACGAACGTGCCCTGAACGCGGCTGGGAACCTCGAGGCCGCCCCTCTGGTGACATCCCCGTGACGTCACCACGGGGTGGGGCAGCACCATGGCTGCTCTCGCCTGACCCCAGTAATGAGGCAGCCGTGAGCGCCCCGCGTGACCTCCACTGCGCCTGCTGTCCGCCCTGTTGAGAGAGCCCTCGGCTCAAGAGCGGAAATTCCACATTGCCGTGGCGAGGGCCGGTCGATTCGAAGCGGTGTTGTGTTTTTCAACGACCACCCAGAGATGATTGTATTTATGATAGACTGAGTGAGTCAAACCACAGCTGTGATATGAATTCTGGATTTTCCCGATTGCGAGATGCTCGCTTGATTTGTTGTGCTCGGAATTCCTTGACGTGCTCAAGATGTAATTCGCTTGTCGGTCAGTGGTCAATCAGTGGTGCGTCTCCGTCGTGTTGAGTTGTGAACTGTCAGTGCGCAGACGTTCGGATAATAACTCCGTGTCCCTGACGTGGATTCACGATGTTTACATGGCCTACGAGGCATTTTGGGTCTGCACTTAAAAAAAAAACAGAAACTGGAGGCAAGTGGAGAGTGAAGAGAGGTTTGACAACGTCAGAGCAGAGATAGTACTTAACATTTTTCCAGAGTCATCTGAAAATGCCGGAGATGTTGAGCACTTACGGAACGTAATGATTTTCTAAGCCTGTGACGCCGCTTGGCTCGCAGTGAAGGCAGTGCCCCCATAGCCGCTCGGTGGTTCTCTTGCCACGTTGCATTCGTTTTCTCTTTTGAGCCTCATTTTGATGACTTTTTTTATTTAATTTTGATCACTCTTAAGCAAAACAAGCAATTGTGAAAATCAGTAAAACAGTGCAGACGTGCGTGTGAATTGTGAACACTTTGAACCATTTGAAGGAACCAAAATTGACAGCATTAAAAAAAATCAATACGAGAGATCACCAATCCTTAGGAAAAGCAAACGAGCATGGGCGGCGGGAGGTTGGGCCACGCTCGCCAATTGAGAAGGCGACGAAGAGGCCGCCAAGAGAGCTACGGAGGGACGAGAAGCTGGCGTCGTGTGATGGATCGCGCCAGGTGGGGAGCGAGGTGGATCGCTTCTGCATCGACGCGGGGGAGCCATTCAACCCAGCAGTGGATCGAGCAAGGCCGATGGAGATTCTCGCGGGAGCCCTGCCTGGTTGGCCGGTGACACGGCAGCGGCGGTGCACGTTCCTCTGGAGCGATGCGAAGTGATTTCCGCTCTGAATTGCAGCTGTCCTTGGAATAGCTATTGATGGGATCGATAGAAATGATTCCGTGATATTGATAACGGGGAACGTAACCCGCGTCGAGGCATCGCATTATCGTGGGGTTGATGCGTTTGTTAGCGGCAGGCCGCTCGTTCAGCGGCCGGCGCGCATCGGCGCTCGGAGCGCTGTCCCTGCAGAGCGCTGCTCTCTTGCCGCGTTTCACAATAATCCACTCTTACTCGAGTGAACGCATTTTGCGAGCGCGAGGAAGAGGCGTCTTTGATGTAAATTTTCTGGCGGTATAAGGGGGTCGCGTTTCACAACAGCTTAATAAATAAACGGGTTGTGGCTAAACACGTCAGCCCTGCTATTAATACCCTGGGTTAATAATACAAGGGGTGGTTGTTCTTGTCTGCTGTTTGTTTAAACATAGATATACATGCGTCGCCGCGGTGATAATTGTTGACCGCACAGTGTGTAGTCCTGTACAGCAGCAGTCCACCCCGACTCCAACCACTGTCTTACATCCACAGTAAATCATCGCTCAGGGGCTTTTGATTTGACATTTTCGCTCCTGCATCATTTTTAGTCTGGTTTAGATTGAACTCAATCCCACTGTTTTAAATGTAATTGATTTCATACATCTCATCACTGTGTTAGAACAATAATTTTAACCTAAATAATGTACAAGTCTTGTCAGTCCGCTGCTGGATGAAGGTATATTGCCAGATGTCGGTGGTGATGGAATCTAACCGCACTTCACTAAGCTGCTCCGTATGGGTTGGGGAAGAGACTGAATGCCAGGAACCAGTTCAGATATCACCACCGATATCACAAACGACCGGGAATTGAAATCTGGTTCATCGTGCAACGTGCTAACCACTGTTCCACTGCTCCCTCTGGTTTTAAGTGAACGTCTCTGAAAATATATTTTGGAAGTTGTGTGCCGGTCCCTGTGTTATGAATTAAGCATCAAAGATGACGATGAATATGTTTTAAGGCAATTTTGCATAAAAATGAGGCTCAACGCACCAAACTTGTGCCAGATTTTCTGCAAAATATTCACATTGTGGCACCACGCAATAATAAAGTCGCACTATGTGGTTTCGTTTCCTGTATTTCTACTCTGTAAGTGCAGTCCTGTTATGACGCAATGCCGTTCGTATCGCAAGATAGGAGAGAGGCGTAGGATTCGTTCATTGTTGGTGTGTGCGGATCATTGTTGAAATTGTTTGCACGATTCAGCGGTAGAGTTGGTCCCACGTCTGGGTTTAATAATAACAACAACAACAGTAACAATAAAAGCATCCTTCTGAAATCTACCTGACTATCAAGAAGTGAACGCTGGGTTAACATCGCGGACAGGTGCCCTCCTTGCCCTAACACACAGCTCTGTCACCTTGTGCCCCCTCCCCACCGTCCCAGCAGGAGCTCACCCGGGGCTGCGCTTCACGCTGGAGCCCCCTCGCAGCGTAGTGCTGCCGCCTCGCGGCGCGCTGACGCTGAACTGCGCGGCGCGGGACGGCAACGGCGCCGCGACGTCCCCGGAGCTGAGCTGGAGGAAGGACGGCCGAGCGCTGGGCGACGGCGCCCAGGGTGGGGGCGACGAGGGAGTGGCGTGGGCGGCGCCCAACGGCACGCTGCACGTGGCGCGTGCCGGGCGCGAGCACGAGGGCGACTACGCCTGCGTGGCGCGCGGGGCCCGCGGCGCCGTCGTCGTTGGGGCGGCAACGCGCGTGCGCGTCGCAGGTGAGTTGGCGCGACGCGCCCCGGAACGTCGATCGTGCCGCCACGCATCACCCCGGGAGCGGGGGGGGAGGGGGGGCAGGTTTTAGCTCGGTTGGCTACGTACGGCGCGAAGGAAGTTCAACGCATCGTACATGCATGCATATATACATGCCAGGTGGCTCCGGGGTCAGAGCGCTGAGCCGAGGTCGCCGAGATGCTGGGTTCGAATCCAGGATTCGGCCGCCTGTGATTTCAACCAGGTGTACCGAGCGGACGGTCTCAGCCCGGTCACAAATTATTATAGGAAAAGAAATGCCTCCAAACGTTACATTTAGGGGTTCTGCACTTAATTTCGCTAAATTCTGGCTTATGAATTGAATATAGCTGAGGGGGGTGGCAGAGGTGAGGGGGGAGATGCGCTGCCCCCTGTTGTGTGGACCAGAGGTCACTCGACGGAATCTCAGAAGTGGTTCTGTGATATCTGCGTCCGTGGGCCATTCTAACACCAAGGATTGCACTGCTCTGCGAGAGGCACAAATGGATTCTTTGTTTCGTGCCGCGACACCGATGGTGCCATCGGGACAAAAGGACAAACAAATAATAAATAATAATGAACGTGGGGTTGAGCGTGGGGTTAGGTTCTGATTGGTTCGTGCTGTGTGACCCCTAAGGGTTGCATGCAGCTAAACCCTATGGTTAGATGTAGCCTCTTCACTTTCGATTCGCTGCTGATGACGGTGTTTACAGCTATGGTGCGCTGTTATCACCGGCGTCCCTCTTGCTCCACGCAAGCCCCTCCTCCACGCCATCACGCCAGTGCACTGCGATGAGTCTTTTCAAGGGCAAACTCAAAAGGCCATTATAGGTGCTGAAAATCTGGACAAGGCTGTGGGTACATAATCGTTAATTCCGAGTAGCGGGGGTTTGATTTAGCACGTTATTTGCAACTGTGAATATTTTTTAAAAGCAGATTTTAAGAGGTATTGCCATATTTGATACCTTGTGCATTAATACTCCGTGTGATAGGGACAGGGCATGAAGAGTAATTTGGCAAATGACATAAGATAAGCACATTACTGAGCTATCCGCTGGGTGAGCATTTGGCTGGGTGAGCATTTGGCCAGTCGTGTAAAGTCCGTAGTGCCTCAAGTGGATAGAAAGTTATAAATTGCAGTACTGCATCTGAATCACGTGTCGGATTGACATTGGCCACATGCACAACTTTTGGCTCGCTCAGCAGTCATTCAGCCACTCCGTCTGACCTGCAATATTGTGAGGAAAGAGCAAACCAATTGGCATTTGGTCAGCTAATCTGAAGTTTTGCCGTGAAATTCTTATCAAGCATACAAGGGATTTGTGCAGCTTATGTCCGCTGGAGATGGACGCTTAGAGATGCTTGGATTCATCTGACAGCTGTGACTAAGCTTTGATCTCAGCCTGCCCTCTCCAAGATCCAGGGTGGCTCCTCTCCGTGCCACAGATCAGAGGTGGGCCCTCACTGGGCACAGGCACGGCCCGGAGCAAGCTGTCGCTAATCGGTGCCGTGACTGTGTCTGATGTCAACGCATTGACTGCGACGGAGATGATGGAACTTCACAACGGCACGTGGAAATGCCACTGGCGCACATTTCAGATGTTGGATTAAACAGTAATATTATTATTCATGATAATAATACTAATTATGTATTGATAATGCTTGCAATTATGTCGTGCCCGAAACGGTTCGGAGAATGTTTAAACATTTCCCAAAACTCAAGCTACGCATGGGGGGAGAGCTCACTTTGATTGGCACTCCTGAGTCAGTGGTGGTGATTCCACATTCCTATGTGGGGAAAAAATGTCTCTGGATATTAGTTATAGAGGTCAGAAATATAATAATGCAAGAACAAGCAGGCACTTGTAACTTATGAATTGGCTAACTTGCTATTGTCGCACTGGCTGTATGCTTATGAGTAGAAACTTTCCATGGCGTTGAGCCAATGTTCCCCAAAGCAGGTGGAGGCGGCTCCACTTGAGCCCTACTTTAACTCCTCAGCGCCAGCAGGCGGGGGTTGGTGTCCCGTTACTGCGAGTGCAGCCTCACGCTGGGGCCTGGTCCAGGGTGGTTGCAACCGTCATGAGTCAACCTCTTTAACCCAAGGGTGGGCCCTGGCCACGTGGCCATTTGTCATCGAGTTAAGGGAGCGCTACTCTCGACATCGATACGCAGAGTCCGTTGACCATGCCGCTGCGGACAGATAGCGTCGGGCAGAAACTGGTCTTCAGATATAATAATTCTGTTTTTCCCACGCTCGTGCAGTGGCGATGTTCGTGACGTAAATTGGGAAACTCGGCCACTTCAACTTCTACCGCGTAGTCCCCTGCCTCCTGCACAAGCGGGCACGTTTTGAAGTCGCCATTAAGTTGAAGCGGAGCGTGAGTGCGTCTGCGATAGTAGTGCAATCTACGGACTTGACAGCCCCCCCCCCCCCACCCATTTTTCAAGCGGGAACCGGACCCGCCACCCTCCCCAGCGTGGATTAACCATCGCACTCTCTGATGCAGGCGCCACGCTGCCCATGCGCCACTCGACCAAGGGGGAAGCTTGCAGGCGCTGAGCTCGCATCATGGGGCAGTGTTGCTTTCCTCCTCCCCCCCCTTCCCGAGAGGGTGGGATCGAAACTCGCGCTGCGTTCTGCACCTCTCAGCACTGCGTGCGAGCAGTCTCCGAGTCTCGAGCGGCGGCGACGGCTCAAGCGGCGGATTTCACAGCAGACATTGCCCACGTGGTTTCCCAAGAATGTGTTATTTTCAGAGCAAGCGGCTACATAATCCATCTCGATTGTGCAATCTTCCTTGGAACAAAACGGCACTGTTTCATGAACTAACGGCGCAAATCCTGTATATTTGTGCGTCCTCGGTGAGGTTAAGCAAGTGAAGCAGATGGTGTGGAGGCAGGGGGACCTCTACCTCCTGATGGAAGGATTAGGGACCTTCCTTGAGCGTTGTGCCTGTGTTTTGCGAGGCGACACACTGCGCTAGTCGTTGTTGGCCAGAGACGTGGTGGTGTGAGATGTTGACTATCTCGCCTGGTGTACAGGCCATGGGTTCGATCGTGACCGACGCCTGTATATTTGGAGTTTGCATGTTCTCCCCGTGGTCGTGTGGATTTTTCTCTAGGTTTTCCGGTTTTTCCATCCACATTTTTGTAATCGACAAGCATTTAGAGTATTTGGCTGCTATAAATTTCCACACGATAAGCCACTTCCGTTGAGCTTTGATTTGTCAAGTCGCTATACAGCCTTACCCTGGTAAGATACGTTTTGTTTTAGTATTATAGTTTAGACGGAGTGGCCCGGTGTGCGTGTGTCTGCGTCGCACCTTGCTCAACGACCAAAATATATTTTAATTGCTGAGGCAAAAATGAATGCTCTATCCATTCTGCCTGTATTATAGAAGATGGGAATTGGGATGCTCAGTGAAACTGATCAGCTATTAGCATATCTGCTCCACCCTCCAGAATTATGTAAAATCCGGAAATTCCCACAGTGGATTTTTAAAAACAACAAAAAGTCACATTTCCTCTGCGAGCAGCGCTAATGAATGTGCCAAGCGAGCTTGTCCATCCCCGCGTGTATTGGTGCGTGTGTGTGCGTGCGTGCCTGTGCGCACGTCGGCACGCATGACGAGCGCGGAGAAGCGTCTCGTGATCGCGGCAGCCCCGCACGGTGAGAGGCGACCAGATAATTCCCATCAAGCCAACTTCAAATGCAATGACGCGGCGGAAGCGTTCTGCCGATAGCTGCGGCAGATTTTAATATTTTGGATCGTGCACTAACATTAAATATGAATGCAAACTTTAAAAAAGCATATCCGAGAAACGAACATCTGCTTGCAATTCACAATGATCACAGACATCACTTAGGTTTTAATTTATTATGAGACAATGGAATAAATAGTTTTGCCACCAAAGCGTGCGCCACAAAGTATCTCCCGCGTCTCTCTTCTCTTCCCTCGGTCTTGCGGCCCTGTGTCTCTCCCACGTCTCTCCACCATGGTTCTCTATTGTATCTCCTGTTACCCCCCGCCTCCATCCCACGTCTCCGGTTCTCTCTGATCTCCATGTGTCACTTGCTCTTTCTCCCATCTCTCTTGTGTTTATCCGTCTCTCTATTGTGTCCATCTCTCAACGTCTGTATCCTGCCTCTTGTCAATCTCCTACTTCTCGCTTCCTCTCTCTTATATGTGCGTGTCTGCGACAATGGCGAATGGAGGGACATGTGCACGTGTGACAAACCGCTACGCAAAACGTACATTGTTTTGAAAGAATAACAAGCGACATTTTTGCTCGGCAACGCAACTTTGTACAAGCCAACTTCAACTTCGCGTGTGAAAATGTCAGCAGGTAAAAATAACCAAGAGGCATCAAATATATTTCACGAATAAATGTAAATTGGCACATTTAGTGAAGGCAGACCACGCCCTCACAGACATCACGACGAGCACACTGCCTCATTCTAGAAGCACACGGAGCGAGGTCACTAACTCATACATTGTTATTATTATAGAAGTAACCAGAGAAGAGCCATCCCCAAGACCGTGACTCGCACCATGGGCGAGGTGTTTTCAGGAGACGTCACAGTGCTTGATCAACGCTGCCCCACATTTGGCGATGTGCTGTGTCTCTTGACAGGCTGCGGTGATCAGTAATCGATACCAGATCACGCCGTAGACTCTTAAACCTTGTGAGCTGTGAGCTCCCCCCTCGCCCCCCCAGCCAGGGATATTTTTTTCCACCGAACCTCTTGTCAACCATTTTTTAAAACGGAAAAGAGGAGTCATGTGAGTAAAACTTCCTGTTATTCTGGGCTTCCCGCTGATGAGAGAGGAGGCCGAGTTAATGGGTTTTCTGCAGTGGATGCTCAGCTCCCTGCCGTATTGGCCGTACGTTTTGTGTGCGTGCCATTGGAGACCGTCCTACCGTGAGCAACAATCATTTTTGTACTACTACTATGCTTCTTGGAAGTCTCGTAACTGTCTTT